CATGAGGATACATCGAAATTACTTGGAGGGCTTGTTAAAACACAGAGTGCTGGGCCACCCCCATGGTGTCTGATTCAGTAGCTCCAGAATGGGACCCAGGAATTTGCATTTCTAAACAAGTTCCCAGATGATGCTTCCATTGTTGGTCTGGGGACCACAGTGTGGGAAACTCAGATTATCAAAGAATAGAAGCTCATAGAGCTGGAAAGGTGAGCAGGTCTGACCATGGAGTAGTTTAAATAGCAGGTTGAGAAATTAGATTTTATTGATCCAGTGACTTATAAGACCACTGTAATTGTTCTGATAGCAGAGAGATGTCAAACTGATATGAGAAAGAGATTAGATGCAGAGAAATCAGTTGGAGGCTGTTACATAGTTAGAGCAAGTAGTTTTAAAAGATCTGATTTAAGGCATGACAATAGGAATAGAAAGAAAAATATCCGTACAGAAGTCTTTGTGAATGAAGAATCTGCTTGCAGGAGATTAAATCTGAAAGACAGCCTTGGTCATCCTCTGAGAGAATCTTCAGTTACATTCGGTAATTTGTATCATGTTAGTTTGAGCTTTGGGAGTATTACTAGGGTTGAACTTGTTTATGTTCTCACAATCTGAAAAGTGCAAAATGTTACTGTTTTAACATTAGTAACATTTTAAGTGAACAGGTTAAACTGTTCTATGGAGCTAATTTAACCTGCTTAGGAGGGCTGAAAAGGAGGCCGTAAGGAGATGGCTACCCCAGGCTTGGGACTGGGCCGATGCCCTGGGTCATGATTTGATGACCTCCTTGTGCTCATGATATCTTTATAGATGAACGCCGATCTTCGATGACCTCAGTTCCTGCTGATCTGCTGATTCTTGTTGCCCTAACATAAGTAGAAACCACTTCTCAAAAGTCTGTGTTTAGGTTTTATATGAACATGGCAATATCCTTTTTTCAGTCTGGATTTGTCCATTTTCACCATGCTCTCTTGTTGGTTATGTTTTGAGCAGTTCAGGAGCCCTTTAGGAGAATTTTCTACACTACACTGTAGAAGAAATGTGCATTCCCTCTCCAGAGCTGTGGACAAGTCTGGGAGAATGAAAAGGGTATATAAATGGAAATAATGTCTAGAATGTTTACTCTTGGAAGAGCAGCAGATATTCTTCCACTGACTTTTGACGATCTGATATGTCAAGTTTCAGAATCCACCCCTGAAATATAGAAAGAATTTTTAGCCCTTGGCTTCCAAAGGCCACCAAAAGGGTAGTGAATCGAGTGAGTCAATGTGGCAACATGTCACAGCAATGGCCATGCCTATCTGGGATGGGAGGAAGGCACTGACTCATTGCCCTTTGAGGGCTCTCCTCCCTCTGTCTCTGGCTCAGAGAGAATATTACCCAGGGAAAAGTAAGGCGAAGGAGACTATGAAGACAAGCAGTTGGGAACATTTTACCCTCTGTTTCCAAAGGTGTCCTGATGGGACTTGAAGGGGAGGCATTGAAGGAGCCTGCAGTAGTTGAGTGAGATCTGGACTGAATTAGAATAGAATTCGAAAGAGTTTATCTAGATTGAAGCCTGAGGTACTGGCTTTCCCCGCCCCCCCATGGAGATTGTTTAGTCTGTTGGAGAAGACCCTGATATTAAGAGCTGGTGTCCCCATGAGCCCTGAAGATGAAACGAATTCCTGCCCTATGTGGATGCCACTGGATTTGGAATCCCCGTGGCTCAGATCTCTGTACAGTCTACCAGGTAGGATCAGCATTCTAGGGAAGAGAAGGGGACAAGGGAGTAGAAATGAACTGTCATCTGTCTACTGAGCTCAATACAATGTGCTGTTGAGGCTCAGGGTGATCCTTCATTTTGTACTCTTTGTTTAATGGGGAAAAGCACACACAAAAGTTCCAAATCCATAGGGATTTAGATGTAAAAAAAAAAATTACAAAACCACATGAAGGTCTGAGTAAAATGGTGAGATAAAGAACAGTGGGTTGGCAAAGGACTCATCAGAGAAGACATTCCTGAACTAAGTATAAAAGCAGTATAGCGAGTAGGAGGCAGGGGTGTGGACTATGCATTTGAGACTTGAGTGTTGTCCCAGAGATGGGAGAAGGACTATCCTGAGCCAAGTGGTGTTTGCCAAGTTTAGTCTAAAGTTGTAGTAGGGGCAAATTGCAAGGGCAACAACTTTTGTAGTGTTCAGAAACAATGTTTCTGGAACACGCTGCTTCTCCCCCTTTCCCCTGTCCTATTGCTGTCACTGTAGCAGCTTTCTTCCTCCTCTGGCACCAGGTGGTCTAGATACCAGAATGGCCAACCAAATGGTTTGGTGGAAAGCCAGCCATTCCAGGAACTGGTGATGCACAGCCTTAGGACCTCAGCTAAACATGCAACCAGGAGATTGGCTTTCATCAGCATTCCACTAAAAGACCTGTCAGAGTCATTATCTTATGCCATGAGAGATATATTAATGCTTACTGTAGGTTTTGTGCTGTCCCTGCTTACAAACAATTGGATTTATGTATTTATTACACAAAGAATTTGTATCCTTGACCTTCCCATCATCCCCTTCTCTAGATGTGAGAAAATGTGTATATGATACTTCAATTTCCAGTGTGAGAAAAATGTATATATGATACTTCTATAATGTTTATATTAAGTAAATTTATAGAAAGCTGAAGAAAACAGGAATATTTGGCTTTCTAATCTCTGCAGACAGATGTATTGAAATGCATTTGCCTTATATAGCTCAGGCCACGGAAGGCAATAAGGATGAGTTTATAATTATTCCAGTATCATTGGAACTAAAGCCAGACAAAAAAACCCAGGAGGTTAAAGGACTCTTCTGTAAATACCTAGTGGGTTTTAGGAGTCTTTGTGTGATTTCAGCCATTGGAGTCAAAACTCCCAATAGAGTGTTATAAATACCAGGGGGACATTTATAGACCCGTCTAGATAAAACAGGTAATGCTTAATATAGAGCAACTAGACTCTGTATCTTTTAGCAATTACATAAATTACAATATGTAAAAGACAGCCTATGGGATGTGATTGAATACCACCACTGAACTCCAGAAGAATGGACTGAAAATGGAGTTTTTTGTTCTTGAGTTTTGTCCCTCAAGCCAGTATAGAAAATGGTGGACCAGCTTAGTGAGTTATGCGTTAAGGGTACTCACAGTCCACTGAAAGCTTGGATGACCTTACACATGCATATGCTCTCTGTGGCCCCAGCCTAGCCCTTTTAAGGACACTGCTCCTAGTCTTTGGGGATGGTAACCCCTCAAAACTAATAGAACCCTCTTCTCTTTTTGTCTAAGAGGTATAATCCTTTATTTTCAGCTTACTTTGAGGTCAGTGTGAAGAATGCTGATGAATCAGTATTTTGTGATTAGAGAAATAGCGGATGGCCGTACTGTGGAAGCAGCCAAAGGCATTTGGCATTTCCTACGTATGCATTCTGTGACGACTTGTGCAAAAATGCATTCTGCTTTTGGAATAGTTTTGCAAATTTTACACCAGACTGCAAAGGGTAAAAGCTTTTTTTTTAGGTGTAACATAAAAGTGAAATAAATATGAGTTGAAACTTTTTAAAAAGGAAATTGAATTTATAAATGGGCTATATTAGATATGGCAGATTTCTAGTATATTCAGTTACTACCCATTTGTATACAATTATCTTCTATTTTGGTAGCTAGTGAAGGTCTGTCCAAGTAAAGAAGGACAGTGTTTGACCTAGACAATGGACTTGTAGGGACTGTGCAGTATGCATATTCTCATGGGCTTTGTTCCACTTTTCCTCTTCACATCAAGCAGACAACTCTCATCTCCTGTACTGCTTGGAAACATGCTACTGTGATGAAAATACCTGAAATTATGGAGCCCTTGCCCCAAGGCTGAAACTGATAACAGTGACATGTTTATTCTAACCCCGTGATGGTATTTGAGACCCTAATCTCAACAGTTGTTCAGTTGCCTGGTCATAAAATCCATCTGAAGCTCCCATTCTGAGAGACACCCTATAGATAAGGAGGCATGTGTCATTTCCAGGGAATAGCCTGTGCTGCTTAAACTTCCAAATAGCGGGAAAAGGAGACAACCATGGCCAAGTAACCCAAGGATATGGCCACCTTATTCTCGGACAAGATTTCAGGCACTGGTCATAAGAGTGGTTCCCTGAAATTAGAAGGGAAAATGACCCAGAATGGCAGCTGGTAGCATTAAGTGTTTCTTTGCTTTTAGGAGGGCATGAAGCTTTGAAGCTAAAAATGGCCTTAAATCATTTAGTCTAGGCTTTAGAAGAACATAAGATAGAATGAAGGAACAGAGTTTATACAGAATAAACTCAAAGCCACGGAATTAAGGGAGGTTTTTCTGGATTTATTGATGTTTATTTAACTCACATCTTGTTTCTGTGGGTTTATAAGTGTTCTAAGCACTTTAAAAATATTAACTCCTTAATCCTAATAGCAATCCTAATCGGTAGACACTAATATTATCTTCAGTTACTGATGAGGAAACTGAGATACAGAGAGGTTAAGTAAATGGACCAGAGTCACACAGCTGGCCAGAGGTGGAGCCAGGCTTTGAGTGTATCCTGTCTCATCCATCTGAGCACTGCCCAGCTTGTTGGTGGCATAGCAGGGCCAGAAGCCAGCTCACCTCTTTGTTGCAATCCACTGACTAGGCACCAGTGGGTTGTTCTGAGGTCATTTAAGCAAGGCAGGCAGATTAGGCCAGGAGGGTTTCTCTTTTAATCAACTGCAACAAAGTATCATGAAGAGATGAGTGTTGAGGTCAAGAATTCTCTAGTCATTGACTAAGCCTTGGAATGTGTTGTGTGACCAAGCAGCGTGTCTTCGCAGGTATTAAAGGGGAAATCAGGTGGGTTAGAGAGGTGGCTTGGGAATTGAAGCAAGTAGGGATAAAAAATAGTGTGTGAGTCTGCTGATGGATAAGTATTGGTTATCTGTTGGTTTATTTATTTACATTTTCTTGATTTCATTAGTATCTTTTTACTCCCATGACCAATCAGGTAAGCTGTGCCACTCAGAGCCCGTGAAGTTGGACCTTTAACCTCAGAGATTCCCCTGACAAATTTCCTATTTTCCCAGTTCGTGGCTGAGATACCAATTATAGGATGCATTTCCTACTGATCTAGAGGCACTGGTTTTTACCTTTTTGTTTCTTCTTCTTGAGACATTCTGCTTTAATCTCAATTTATTTCCTTAAAGTATGTGCTTTGGTTAGGAAGGAGATGTTTACTTTTTCCAGGGGAAAATTATATGCTAATGTACATAATCAATCATCAAGGAGAATGCAGGAAGATAGGAACTTTTTTCTTTTTTTTTTAAATCAAGATATAATTGACATAACATTATATTAGTTTCGGGTATACAACATAATGATTCAGTATTTGTATGTATTGTGAAATGATCACCACATAAGTCTGCTTGGCATCCATCACCACACATAGTTAAAAGTTTTTCTTTCCTGTGATAAGAACTTTTAAGATTTACTCTCTTAGCAACTTTCAAATATATAATACAGCATTATTCACAGTAGTCACCACACGGTACTTTACATCCCCATGACTTATTTATTTTATAACTGCAAGTTTGTATCTTTGGACTTCCTTCACCCATTTTGCCCACCCTCCTCCCCCAGCTCTGGCAACCACCAGTCTGTTCTCTGTATCTGTGAGTTTGTTTTTTCTCCCTTAGATTCCACATATAAGTGAAATCATACAGTCTTTATCTTTCTCTGTCTGACTTACTTCATTTAGCATAATGCCCTCAAGGTCCATCCAGGTTGTCACAAATAGCAGGATTACCTTCTTTTTTGTGGCTAAATAATATTCCAATGTACACATGTACCACATTTCCATATACATTTATCGAGTCACCTCTGTCTTGGGCATTGTAAATAATGCTGCAATTAATACAGGGATCCATATATCTTTTCAAGTGTTTTCATTTTTTTTTTTAAGATTTTATTTATTTATTTGACAGAGAGAGCATGCGCATGCACACAAGCAGGGGGAACAGCAGAGAGAGAGGGGAAGCAGGCTTCCCGCTGAACAGGGAGCCCGATGCGGGACTTGATCCCAGGACACTGGGATCACGACCTGAGCCGAAGGCAGACGCTTAACTGACTGAGCCACCCAGGCACCCCGTCAAGTGTTTTCATTTCTTTCAGATGAATACCCAGAAGTGAAATTGCTAAATCATATGGTGGTTCTGTTTTTAATTTTTTGAGGAACTTCCATCCTATTTTCCATAGTAGCTGCACCAGTTTGCATTCCCACCAACCCAGGTGCACAAGGGTTTCTTTTCTCCACATCCTCACCAACACTTGTTATCTCTTATCTTTTTGAGAATAGCCATTGTAACAGATGTGAGATGATATCTCATTGTGGTTTTAATCTGCATTTCCCTGATGATTTGTGATGTTGAGCATCTTTTCATGTACCTGTACCAATCTGTCTGTATGTCCTTTTTGGAAAAAGGTCTATTCAGATCCTCTGCCCATTTATTTCATCAGGTTGTTTGTCTGCTATTGAGTTGCATGAGTTCTTTATATATGTTGAATATTAACCCCTTATCTGATACATGATTTGCAAATTTTCTCCCATTTGGTAGATTGCATTTTCATTTCGTTGATGATTACAAAAGACAAGAAGTTGTGTACACAGTTGGTGGGAGTAAATCAGAGTGCAATCTGGCAGTAACTAGTGAAGGTGGCGAGGTGTCTTCTGTAAAGCCCAGCAGGTCTACCTTGAGATACATGCTCTGGATGCTTTAAGAGTTTAGAGCAATGTGTATTCTCCTCGGTGTGTGATCTGCACGTTGTAAAGATTTGTCAGCCATTTGTTTCCAGTTCACAGGGAGATATAAGTATAGAAAGTGAGAATAAGCATATAGAAGCTTTTATAGCAATTTGATACTTCCACCACATCTAAGAGTGTGACTTTGTATTTTATAAAAGTATTGATCTGAAACAGATTAGAAATAAGAAAAACGGGTCTTTGACTCCCTGACCACAGGTAGTTTGGGAAACACTGCCCTAGAGGAATTCTCACAAATAAACAGAGACCTGTACAGGACTGCTTCAAATAAGTGTGTTTGTGTGTGTGTGTGTGTAACAACCTAAATATCCATCCTTAGGAAAATGTGCTACAAACGCCATGATATGTCCTATGAAAGAATATTATTCAACAATTAAAATGAATGAACTAGATCTACGTGACTGAACACGGATAAATCTCAGATAATTTTGAATTAATGAGCACGTTGCAAAATGATACCTATATTATGATAATTATATAAAATTTTAAAAACACAAAATAACACTAAATTTCCATACAAAGTAAGTGGCTAACAACATGGATGGGAAAGATGCACACCAGCTTCAGAAGAGAATTTAACTCTAGGAAGGGAAAATGGTGGATAGGATTGTGAATGGGTGAAAAAAAAAATTAAAGCTTCAACTGTATATATAATCTTTTATATTTTTTAAAAGCTGACAAAAAAAAAAGTTTACATTTATCATATCTAGAGTGGTGGGTACCTGGTTTATTACATTTTTTCTATGTTTTTCTCTATCTTAAAAGTATCTCCTAGTAAAACCAGCCTCAGAATATGATTTTTTTCTGATCCAGAAAGCAAGTTGAACATACTGGAACATCTGGGGAGCTTGATTACCTACAATGCCCAGGGACACATTTGTCTTCCCAGTGACTTAAAACCAGATATTAGCTGTATGTGCAGCTTCTGTGCCTCAGGACTATAGAGAAAACATTAGTTCAGAGCCCTGGGGCAGATGGAGAGATGCCTGGATTCTGGTCCTAGCTTTGTGACTAACTCATTTGTAACAATGGATTTCTCATATTTAAACCTTCATTGCCTTGTCCTTAAAATTAGACTGAGACTGTTTTCAACACTGAAATTTTATAACTTACATAAATTACATATAAACATATATTTGAAATGTTAAATAGACTAGCAGTTTGATGCTCCTTTTACAATAATCATAGAGGCTAAAGCAATACGTAGAATAAATGCAGATGTAGGAATAAGATTAATATATGTGCAGTGGATGGGGCACCTGGGTGGCTCAGTCAGTTAAGCATCTGCCTTCGGCCCAAGTAGTGATCTCGGGGTCCTGGGATCGATCCCTACGTCAGGCTCCCTGGTCAGCAGGGAGTCTGCTTCTCCCTCTCCCTTTGCCCCTGCCCTTCCCCGCACCCATTTATGCTCTCTCTCTCTCTCTCTGCTCTCTGTCTCTAAAATAAGTAAAAATTTTAAGAGTAAGGAGTAAGATCTGAGTTTAATTCTTGCCTCCCTGCTATTCACCAACTATGATCCTTGGTTTCCTGAAATACTGATCTTCTATTTCCTATGACAAGAATCATAATAAATAGCGTCTACCTCAGCTTGGAAAGGTTTGAGAGCAGTCTTATTGTTGCAGTTGTTACAAATCAGTCACTTAACTTTTATGCCTGGAAAGGTACTATAATAAAATCTCAAACAGCTAATTGTAGTCATCTTCCAAAAATGGGATGAGCGTAGCATGCCAATTATTCTTTAAAGCAGTAATAAACTACAAATTTTCTAAACTAAATGGTGCCACATTCTCTAAAAGCATGCATTCAAAGTAATTTAGTAAATTTCTCATCTCAAGAATAAAGATTGTAACTATGTGAGGTAATCAATGTTAACTAAACTTATTGCAGTGATCATTTCACAATATATACAAATATCAAATCATTATGTTGTACACCTTGAACTAATACAATGTTATATGTCAATTATATCAAAACCGGAAAATAAAAACAAAAACAGACAAATAAAAAACAACAAAGTGATTTAGAAATGGTTCTGTCTGAATTTGGGACCCTAATTAGATGAATTATAGATTGCTTCCAACACTTGAATTCTCTTTTATGTGGGCTGCGATTGAATGGCCCTAATTGTTTACACGGAATAAACTTGACACAACAAAAGTGAGAACATGCTTGATTTTTAATTTGTACTTTGTGATTTGTACTCTTGCCATTCATTTATACAGAATGCCCCAAAGCAGAACCATATGACAACAGGGAAGGACGGTCAAGATTTGCATTTGTGAATCTCAAAATCAGGCTATGTTTTGTGATGGAACAGAGTATTTGGACCAGGGCACAGTTAATGTGGTTGGGCCTCTAGTTCTGCTGACACAGTATGTGCTGATTAAGTTTTGAAGGCTTGGTTTTATAGAGCCATGTGGTATCCCAGGGGTCTGGTGAATGAAAAGCTTTTGCAGCTTATCAGCAGAAAGATAAGAGAAAAGCCCTGGTTCTACTACCAGTGTGGGGAGATGTTGATCACCCAGGCTTCTGAGAACAGGAGTTTGACCCACACCAAACATACCCAGCACCACAGCCAGCAAGGAATTCCCTGAGATAAGATTACAGCATTGTCCTTAAAGGGACGCCAACCAAGTCAGTGGATCCCCAAATATTCCCTGAGCAGAGCAACCCTGTAAATTATCCTTTTTACCAGGGGACTTCAGGACCTCAGTGTTTGGGCTTCTAGATGCAAACATTGAGGTGTTGTTTTCCAAGGTACACACAAAACTCTAGCAGCGTCAAAGTCAGACCCCACAGGGTCAAGAGCCTGAGCTTGGGGCCCTCAAGATCTGCCAATTGTAGAAGCTGGAGACAGCTCTTTGTTGACAAAAGTATTCATTCACCTTCCTTTGGGATTTTGTTTTTTCTCTACTGGCTATGTCTAGGCCAGAGGCCCTCTAAATCCAGGTTTGTCCTCAAGGCCAGGCCTAGGATGAAGTCATTATAGGAAAAGGTGATTCAGCCTTTGAGAGGAATAGGTATGAAAAGCCACTTCAGTAATTTATTTCAATACCTAGTCATGTGTTTGGTTTAAATATCAGTACGTGAACTGGCACAGGGGAAGTGGACCCATGAGGGGTCAAGGAATTCTCCCAAGACCATTTTGGTAATGAGAAGCAGCAGATACAGAGAGGTAACTCACCTTGTCATCCAGACACTTCTTGCTTTGGAATGCCTCACATTCGTTCCTCTGTACCCCTGTGTGCCACCCTAGTGTGGCCTTCTGGTTCTGACCCCTCCTTCCCAAGGCTATGCTGTATATAGTGACCAGATTAATTAACAACAACAACAAAAAAAAACCCTTTTTATTGTGTCATTTCCCAGGATAGTCTCACAATAAAGGTCAGACACTTCTAGTTTATTATTAAATATCCTCACTAATCTTTCTATCCAGTTTCTCTTTCTCCATCAAAACTTTACTTCATGCAGAGGATCTCCTTATGGGCTGTGTTAACTTATTTTTCAATATTCCTGCTTTGGTTCCTGCTGTCTCTCCTTTTGGAGTTCCTTCTCCCCTTCACTTCTACTCAGACACATCTCTTCCATTAAACTCTTTCAGACCAATCCCGCCTACGCTGATCTGACCTTCCTCTGAACTCTGCTAGCTTATCACCTAGAGTCCATACCAGCCCTGTGGCAGTTAATCACATTCTCTGTGAATTTGGCTTTGTTTTGCATGCTCTGTCTTGCTCTTTCTCTCTTCTCTCTCTTTCTTTGTGTCTGTGTGTGTTTGTATGTGTTTGTGTAGCTAGATAAGGGGTCTTTGAAAATAAAACCTAGGTCTTTTTTTTTTAATATATAT